TTTTGGTATTATCTTGGCTCCTGTTGTTTGTGGGTACGACATGTCTTAAGGACTTGAAAATCCAGATTAGTTTGCGTATTCTGTTAGTGACGTGTTCGAGGTGAGTATGCCATGAGAGATTTTGGTCAATGATGACACCCAAATACTTAGCACTCTGCATCCCAGTGATGATTGGACACTGACAGGTATTTACGGAGTTGGGCATGTAATCACAGGTGTGTATTTTTAGTTCAAAATCAGAGCAGGGTTGTGCGTGGTTGGTTTTACTAAAGCAAATATAATTTGTTTTAGCTGTGTTTAAAGTTAGTAGGTTATAATTTAACCAGTTAGCTATTCGCACCATACCCTGCTGTGCACTAATCATTACTTCTTCCCAGGTATTACCAGAGAAGACGACAGAGGTGTCATCGGCGTACGAGAAGATTTTGGCGTTACATATATTCAAATATGCCAAAACCTCCTTTCATAGGAGAGGCCTATGTCCAGCAGTGGACTATCATAGGCTGTTGATGTGATGTGATGATTACAAATATGGTGGTTAGAGAAGCTTATCAGAGCTACTTAATTGAGATTAAAGAAGTGTTGATATTTGTGACAAATATTGATAGGTATAATAAGGTGTGTTAGTACAAACATAAGGTTACGCGACCCAGTACCACACGCTACATATTACTATATAGTATAGTAATAAATAATAATAATATTAAATTATTTATTTTCTCTCCACAATACACTTTTACATAATTATAGCTTGCACAAGAATTATTATAAAAATTTATAATGTGGGTGACTGGTGCCTAATCTAGGCTCAGAGCCTGTGTTTCAGGACACCTGGACATAGTCCATCTAAAGGTTGCCTGGAAGAGATCGCAGACTGCGATAAGGCCGCCCATTGTATCACTTTTTTTTTGTATGTATCATCGTATATATCCTAATTATGGTGTACTATAAAGAGTACCTATCTATTTATCTTGAAGCATTTTTTTAAATTTATGTTACAGGGGGCAAACGAGCAGTTGGGCCACCTAGTCGTGACTACCGCCTTCTATAGACACCCCTCTGACTCCCCCCTCTCCTAGAATTAGGGGGGGGAAGAATTTGGGACTCCCTCCGGTAATCTTACTCACTCGGTGAAACCAATGAGAGAACTGCTCAGGAACCGGCTTTCTATCGGGGTTTAAATGAGGATTCTAAGGATTAAATCTAGATTGTGGCCGGTACTGGTACTCTTATTTGTTCTGTGTTCGTGGACAGCGACCGGTTGTTGGGTTAGGTCTCCGTGGGTCAGGTGCTGCAGTCGTATAAGTTACAGTGCAGAGCTCCTTCCAGCGGCAGCAGCACTAGCTAGAACTACGAGCGCACTAAACGCGCGGGCTATATTGTAAATAATGAGCCTTGACAAGAATCATAAAACAAAAATAATTTTTAATGTACTTAATCGCGTGTACACAATCATGCGTTTGCATTATCTATGTTATTTTTTCAAGTTATACTGGAATATGTTAAAGACGGTATATAGGTGCGAACTGAAAGTGAGTGATGGTTTAAAAATAAAAGAACATTCAATTATAAAACTAGCATTTAATTTTACATTGAATTAGTACAAAATACGCGTCCACTTCGATACAGTTTCTCTGTATAATGTACACGATCATAAAATCAATATATTTGCATAAGCTTTTCATTAAATAGCTTCGGCAAATGCCCACTCGGATATCGTCTAAAAGTAAAGTTAACAGGCACAATTTCATATTGACCATTTTTTTAAACACCACCGCTAGAGGCGCCACTTGTGGGGGACACGTAGCGCCTCCAGCGACCTATATAGGTAATACACTTAAGCATAAAACAATGAATTTAAATTATTTAAACAGCCTTTTTTAAGTTAATATCGTGTTTTTAATAATCAGAAAGATTTAAAGTCAACTGAACGTTATAAAGCAATAAAAAAATTAAATTCGTTAAATTATGTGCAACATTGACAGTCTCTGTCAAAATAAATATGGTTTTAATTTGAAACAGATCCAATGGAACCTTAAGACTTCTGGGGGATTTCTTTTATTCTTTTTGTGTTATAACACTTAGTACAGGTAGAGAATGTTCAGTTCGAAAAAAAACTTGCTGGTTTTTCAACGGGATAATTCGGGTCAAAATATTAGTTTAAAAAAAATAATTTTGGCGGGGCGTGGCACAGGTGTAATAACCGGTTTACTGAAAAAAAAAAGGTTCTTGACAGACAGACGGACAACAAAGTGATCTTGTAAGGATTCCGTTTTTTCCTTTTGATGTACGGAACCCTAAATACAAGGTTTTTTTTATGGTAAAACAAAAAATAGGAGGTTGTAGTATGAGAAAAAACGAAGAAAATCAGTTACTGAAGTCAAATTCGTTAGAAAACATGCTTTTAACTTGAAAAGATCGCGATTTTTCGCGTGCTTGTTTTTTTGTAAAAAAAATTCGTTGCAGAATAATATAAGGTTTCTGAAATTCGCGAAAACGTAAATATAGATGCTTCGGTGTTCGATTTTTTTTTCAAAGACTTACCACGAACTGATTTTTTCCGTAGTATTTTTTTTAAACCAATACTTTTACCCGAATTACCCAGTTGAAAATCCAGCTAGTTTCTTTTTCTTTAATATGAAGATATTTCATACATTCACATCCAGTAATACATGGGAAGTATAAAGAACCATAGGCATTAAAAATAGCAAACCACAAAATATATAAAATTATTATATAGCTGTTATGTGAAACAAAGATTATTTTAGTATAAAGGACAAGAGCGAGCCATCATCGCTCTGCTTCCTTAGAGGGATTTAATAAGAAAACATAATGATATACAATACAATACATATAATAAATAAAATTAATAAGGGTACGAAAAATTAAGGTCTAGTTCTGTAAACGGTTTTTTTTCCCACCAATGACCTAATTCGATTACACTCTTTCCTTGTCAGTATACTAGTATAATGTTCTTTTTGCTTAATACGAGTTCGTAATTCAAATATTTTTATTAAATTACTTTTATAGTAAATTATTGCAGCCAAACTCAACTTGGAGCCGTCTATATTGTTATTGATCTGGAATCACACAATTATTTATATGGGGCAACACTAGACAACAACAAAATAATTTGACAGCTAGGCGGGAATTTGAACTGAAAGGGCGGAGGATTTTAGACAGATTCCCGCCTAGAATCCCCATTTGAACATTGAAGTGAAGTGAAAATAGTGAAGTTATCTATCAAAAATTAAGACTTGGCTTAAAGGTCTTGTTACCAGGCCATAAAAATACAATAATAATAATAAAATAATTTGACAGTTACAGATTGGGCATTATATTTGAGAGTAAGTTTTAATTCAACCTAGTGTACATGTTATGGGTCTACGTAAAAATCGTTTTTTTTTTGACTAATACAATAATTATTATAAATTTACTTCATCAGCGATTTTATTCTTTTATGTGACGTGAGTTTTGTACAGCTATCAATATTGCGCAATGGTCATAAAAGTTTTGAAGTCGTAAAATGTTGAGTTATCACATCATGTACGAACATATATTCTGACTTTAACCTCATTCGGCAAAAGTCCATAATATAGAAGCGACTACCGCCGCCCGCATTGCAAAGTCAAAAGTACTTTGATGTCGTTTGAGGTCTGAGTATGGTCGGTTAGCCTTTTGATTAGTGCAACTCGTAGAACAGGGAAACTATTGAGTATGGCTACACCAAAGTGATTAAAACTTCATTGTTAACTTTGTTTAGTATATTACTTTACAGAAAAAGCAGTTACAAAATCATTATATAATTCGTTTTATTTACACATCTTTCATAATTTGTATAGTCCGACTAGATGCTGATAGATGGCGTTACTTGTTTATTGTCTGGGTTGGGTAGTAAGTGAAAATGCGAGTTTTAAATGCGATTAAGGCGGTAACACTATGTATCAGCATAGTTTTTTTTTATATAATAATTAATGTAGTTTTTACTGTTCAATGTAATTATTGCCAGAGATCACAGTGATAAGTTTCTATGCAAACGACTTTGTACCATAAGAACGAGCATTTTCTACAAATGGTTGGTTTGAATTAACAGGAAACTGATTTGTGATGTAATCTTTTGTATATTTTTATAACAGTTTATAGTTTTAAACCGATTTTTTTAATAAGTGGTGGTTTCGTAAAACTTCACATTAAAAATTTGACAAGTAAGTACCTTCAGCCTTAAAAACATAATTTACGTAACTAAAAAATCTTTTATTTTAAAGTAATAAATACAAATTACGATTTATTTTACAAAAATAAATATTCATGTCTACGAAGCAATTAAATGTTTTGATGTGTAACATCCTCTCACTTTCCTGTGATCTGTGGGAGCGATTTAATGCAAAAGGGACGGAAATGTGTAACAGGAAGTCGAGAAAAGCGCGCGCCATGTTAAAAGTGAGAGGTTAGATGTCACACATCATATGAGGCTTTGAGGCTGGTTTTTTAAGTACAAGTTTGTATTCTGAGTATGCATGCACATCATTTTTTTTACTGCGAATTTGACACATTAGTTATTCTGTTGTTCAATGGTAAAGTGTTTTTGTACTATGAAGTTTTGACACAAAAAAAGAGGTCCTCTTCTACTACTCATCGTAACAATATGGTACAGTTGTGTTACAATCAAAAGTGTTCGGTGATCAGATTTAGTTGAACATATTAAATTGTTACCTAATATGGTGATTCATCACAGTAATTCTCTTGCTTGTCATTATTGTTCTATTTGATTTTTTAACAAAAATCATACGTTTGCATAGAAACATCACTTATCTTATTCTATTTTTAAGAATATAATTTTTATTTTTAAGAACAATCGATCACATAAGTGGTGCGTTTGGCTTACAATCTTCCAATATCACTTTTACGCGGACCAATAAAACATGACTTCCAATTAACCACGATTTATTCCAAAATATTTACATCGAACAGTACGAGCGGCGGGCGTCGCGTGCGCGCTGCTATCGCGCGGGCTCTGCCCCCGCGGGGAGAGAGGGGAGAGAGGGGAGGGCCGCGGAGGGCACGAGGTGGTAGGTGAGCCACCACGACAGCAGCGGCTGCGTGACGGCCACGAACAGCAGGAAGTACACGCGCCGCTTGGTGCCGCCGGCCTTGCCCCACGACTGCGCGTAGGGGCTGGCCGCGTAGCCCGGGCTGGGCGCGTAGCCCTGGCCGTACGCGCCGTACGGGGGCTGCGAGGGCGCCTGAGACCCCGACAGGAGCTGCAGCCGAAGAGATTTTACCTGTAAAAGAAAATCGTCATTTTTGGATGTACTGAATTCTAAAACACGAAATCGAGACGATCTGAAAGCGATGTTGATTGTAATACGAGAAGTATAAAAAGTTAACTAATTTAAACTCAGTTTTGGGTTAAGCTCGCCTTTGTACATAACAGTTCCTTGTTACTTAAAAGTTAAGTTTGAATCCGCTTCGAATCATTTGTAACCATCCCCACATATATGTATGTGTTCAGTGTGTACAATAAAGAATAAATAATTAAATGAATCCATCAACAGAAAATGAACTGATTATCGGGTTCAAATCAAATCAACTTTTAAACCAAATTAGAAACATCGTTGACAATATTTAAATTATTATTATTCCATACAACCAATTATTTAAAATCGACCATTTTTTTAAATTCACATATTGAATTCATAAAAGTTAAATTAAAAAAAAACAATTATAAAATCATTAATGAAGTAAAAAGATACGGTAACTTCTAGAAAGTATACACAGAAGTAACTTACCAAGAAGTAACTGAGTGCAAAACTACTGTACAGCAAACTGCAATAATACCCCGTCTTGCTCAACATGAGTCCGGCCAGCAGACTAGCAATCATGATGATGTATTTGTACCCGGAGTAAGCCACCAGGTCCAGGGTCTTCAGATTAGTATTCGTATTGGTCACATACAGAGTCACCAGGTACATTATCATTTCAAATAAAATGTATGCAAGCGCTGAGGAAGCTTGCATTCCGATTTGTTCAGGAGAGAAACGGTGTTGAAGACCTGTATACAAGTGGCACAAGTTAAACAATAACAACCTTATGTCTTTAACTTTATAGCTCAGTGTTAAAAGTTTTTTTTACATTGACCAATACCACCTATATGTGTATATTATGGTAATTGTGAGAAGGTAGGCATTTATGGTATTTTGACAGGCCTGTCGGTCTAGTGACCCTGACTGATAAGCCGAAGGTCGTGGGTTCGATTTCCACCCAGGATAAATAATTGTGTGATGAGCATGGTCATTTATTCTGTGCCTGGGTGTAATTTATCTATAATATGTATTTAGAAATATATAAATATGTTTATTAGCAGTCTGGTTACCAGAGTACAGGGTCTGCCTAGTTTGGAATCAGACGGCCGTGTGTGAGATGTGTGAAGTGTCTGTGCTGAGGTCTCGGGTTCGATTCCCAAGTCGGCACAAATGTTTGTATCAGAGTTTAGTTGTTTTCTATGTATAATATGTATGTATTTACAAAAAAAAGGATATAAGTATTCTATCAGTCAATCTAGCTTTCATAGAACAAGCTCTGCTTAGTTTGAAACTAGATGTCGTTGTGTGTCAGATGTCCGAAATATTATTATTATTACTAAATGCTTTGATTGAAGTATGTAGTAATATCTGTTGCCACTATTTGACAGGTATTTAATAATAATATAATAATAATAAATATATTTATTTCGTAAGGTAATTTTAATACATAGACACAGAAATTAATGAAGATAGTGAATACAATCAGTGGTTAAAGCGCTGTCCTCCTAGCTAGGTTATGGAATAACCTGTATTAAGGAGTAACAGTCCCAAACCCCTTTCGGTGGCAGGTATTACAATATACCAACATACTGCATTAAAGTATTATGACATTTTTAATGTTATACATAATTTAACAGAAACAGCGTGCTTGTGTAGGTGTGTGTGTGCAGTACAACAGTATTTGATTCGATAACGATTATTTAACGTTTGGATCCTTAATACAGTGTACATTTGATCGAAGTTTTTAATACTACAACAATCATTGTGGTTACATATAGACCACCAAACAAAAACTAGTACGCTATGTACCTCACTAAAATATTTAAAGATAGACCTAAACTAGAGATTATGTAAATAGTAGACTCGGCAAATAAAATACTTAGTGGGTAGTACGAAATAATTTAGATTTAAAAAAAAAACTATCACTAGAGATGCTAAAACTAATAACGCAGAATGATTTTGAAACAATAATATTTTGCAAATAATATATATTAGTGAAGAAACGAGTGGTTTACAGTTCCCACACATGTAAACGTACAATTATACAGGGTGTAAGGAACGTCGTAACGAATGCTGAATTAGTGTATTCAAACCGATGATGGTCTGGTCTGATGAAAAATTATATCACAATGAGAACACAGAACATTTTATCGAAAACGATCAAAAACTGCAATGTAATTAATACAAATGTAGTTATTACCTTTGTGCGATACCTACGGGAAATGGCCTTAACCTTCGACAGCTAATTGCATAATACGCTAAGTTACCTAATTCGACATTGTTTTACCCGTTTTTAATTTAGTCTTGGAAGTTTAATACACGGCAGAAAGCCTCAGCTTACCTAACATAAAGCCAGCCAACAGGACGTATGTGACGTAGCCCATTGAGGGGATGTACAGATCTGGAGCGTTGAGGTCGTACCGCGGCTGCACCGGTGTGTCCTGGTCATATTTCACCATCCAATCCTGGATATACCAACATCTTTATTAGCCAAAACAAATCTGGTTTAAGTTAACCTAGATAAATAAGTTTAAAAATAATCATAGATTGTGAAGATGGAACTGAACCTTAATTGATATTGCAGACGAGCAGACGGGGTTACCTTATGGTAAGTGACCACCGCCGGATATAGACTCCAAAGTCACAAGTGCGCACTATGAGCCCCCCCCCCCCATTGTGGAAAGTGGGGGGGGGGGGGGGGCTCATAGTGCTTCAACGCACTTGTGACTTTTGTGAAGGTTTGGGCTACGGTAACTTTACTACGTAACTAGAAAAACTACGAAAGAATTGTTTAACACCGGTTTTCTGTGATGCCCTGAAGGCTAATTCTCGTAATAAAAGTTCACATATCCATTCAACATTCTGACTGCTGATATTGTTCTGAGTCTGGGTGTTCTCAAGTCCTAGTGCGGGAGTAGTCTTTAAAAAAAAACTACCTAACATAATTAACACGTCAGAGTTTCTTTGATACACTTCAAGTGTTAACTACTCAACCGAACATCATAAAACATTCTCCACAAGTCCAGAAAAGTAAATAGGAAGACTTAATCCAGGAAAAAATGAGCTTAGGAACCTTACCTTATGTGTATAGGGGAAAATTATGAGGAGCAGTTTCCTCATGACGTATCTGGTGTCAACCGCGAAGTAGTACCGCAGTCGCGACACCGGCACGTACTTGTTGATCTCGCGCTGCACCACGTCCCGACCTTGGGCTGCCAGCTGGTTGCCGTATTGCAGAGCCATGTCCTGAGAAGTACAGTTAGACCTCAAAATTTGAGACTGATATAAAAAGTTCTAAATATGATTATGATAAATTTAATTTCAGACCTTGAAGAAAAGTCACTGGTTATGATTAATACAACCCATTTTTTTTTTTTTTTTAACGTGTGGAAATCCCCTCGGACCGTCACCCCACCGGGGTTTGCGGCGGGGTGGTGTGCCGGACTCGGACCGACTAAAACCACACGGTGTGCCACTCTGCGCCTGTAACAGGAGGGATCCGGGAACAGCTGTTGTTAAGACATGCGGACCCCTCCTAGCGCCGGCCCGCTCCTGTTGCGGGCTCCGTCTCAAATTTTTTAACCTCTCTTTAGGCGACGTCCGGCACACGCGGACGCCGCCCCCTCGCGGCTGGCCGAACTAATGCGGGTGGCAAATACAAGCCAAATACAAGACCTACATTAAGAACAGGTTAATATTTTAGTTCTTTATAAGTTTATTTAAAAGTAGATTTAAATTAAAAGGTTAAGGCATAAGTTGAGTAGCGAGTTTCAGCTCTTCAGATCCAGACCTGAACATGTCAAAAAATGCATGATTAAAAAATTTTTTTAAACCAGTTTCAGGAGCATGTCATTTTCTAAGTCTAAGTTGTTTTGTCTCCAAAAAACTGTTATACCTATTAAGTAATTTTTTTGAAAATACTTTTTTTGTTGTTGTTGGTAAGTTATTTGAACTTTTGTTGTGCATAAAGTTATAAAATAGAGAAATCATCATCATCAGCCTATCGCAATCCACTGCTGGACATAGGCCTCTCTCATTGCACGGCCTGTAGTGACGGATTATGAATACAGAGTGTCACCACCCCTATTCATCCCGTGGGTGTCGTAAGAGCCGACAAAGGGAAAAAACTACGTAGCACAACAGCACTGCAGAGACTTACTGAGAGTGCACTGCACGCCACTTAGATCGGTTTTGGGCTTCTTCTGCTTTTTTATTATTAAATCAATAAATGTATCAGCAAAATTCTCAACATCTTATTACCTGTACAATAGGCTGCTGTAACATTGAGCCGAGTTGTGCTGGGTTTGGTATTGGAGGCTGGGTATAACCTCCCATGTAACCATAATCTGAAATAAAAATATCATACAACTTTTTGTAAGAAATTCCGTTCTCTAGGGTTCCGTACCTCATCCCCTGGGATAGGGCCTGATTAGGCATGGTGTCAATTCGGGGAGGACCTGAAATAACATGGTCCGGGTCCTCCCCAGAGTAGGACACCTAAGGCCGGCCGTCGAGGTGGTTTTTAGTGGAATCACCACATACTCCTGGCTCCTGAGTCCCGATCCGAAGGGATTTTCCACCCCGTCAACAAAAAAAAAGGTTCCATACCTCAAAAGGAATAAAAACAGAAGCCTGAAATTTTCACTTTGTTATCCGTCTGTCTGTCTACGTACCTAAACACAAACCAATTTAGGTAAATTAGGTAATTTTAAAAAGTCCTCAGTTATACAGCTAATACAAACAAATTTTACAAATACAAAAATATGTACAGTTATGTATGATGTGCCTCAGCAGCACTCATTATGTTACTCACATAACTGTAAAAACTACAGTAATCTAAATTATATATATAAAAGTCTCGTGTCGCGGTGTTTGTTACCAAACTCCTCGATTTTTAAGTTTTTTTTTTATGTTAGAGGGGTAGACGAGCAGACGGGTCACCTGATGGAAAGTGACCATTGCCGCCCATGAACGTCTGCAACTCCGGAGTCACAAACGCGTTGCCGGCCTTTTAGGAAGGAGTACGCTTTTTATTGAAGGTCATTTCGGTCCGGAAATACTGCAGACGATAACCTGTTCCACAGATTGGTTGTGCGGGCCAAAAAATAAAATAAATAAAAGCGCATAGTATAGGAGCGCCAACCATCCAGGCAATGAGGATGAAAAATTTGCCGTGTGGAACGATGGCGGAAATTTGCGTCTGGTATTAGCCTAAAACAATTCCTCGGAGCACTCTCCATGATATATGCGATAGAGAATGCAGAGTGAAGCTACATCTCTACGTAACACCAAGGAATCGAGCCGGTCGCAAATCTTTTGGATATCGACGAATCGAGTCGCTCTTCGTTGGATGCGGTCCTGAGGGAGTAGCTGGTACTGAGGTGCCCTGCATAGAGATGAGAACAGTATTCCATATGCGGCCAGACTTGCGCCTTATAGAGCTGAAGGCGGTGGGCCGGAGTGAAATACTGCCTCGATTTTTTTTGATTTAGCATTGAAAATACATACAACTTTTTATCGTTCTACGGATCAACCCCTGTTTTTAATGGCAAAACAATGTTTGCCGGGTCAACTAGTTACAATATAAAATCATAATTCCACAGAGTTCAATTAAAATGTTAAAAAGTTCTTTAGATTTTATCTTGGTGTTATTAAAAACTTACACCCAAAGTTCTATTACACCAGTGTTGATTAGCATAAGTATCTCTGTACTGAACAGACTTTATAATTAGTTTAGTTTAGTTTTAGTTTTTTAAAAAGACAACTCCCGCATTAGGAATATGTATCCTGTGTCGCGGGGGACTTTACAAACATACATGAAACGGACACAAAGAACACCCAGACTCAGAACAACAATTTGTGGATCACACAAAGTGTCGTCCCATGTGGGGTTTGAACCCACAACACTCGGCGTAGTAGGAAGCGGCGTGGCGACCGCTTAAACCACTCCGCCATCCGTGCAGTCATTGCCAGTGCAATTACACTAAACAGGCAACATTTAAATAATTTTCAACTTTCATTCCCGTAATAAGAGTTTGGTCTCTATTCAGTTCCGATCAAGTTTCGATCTCACAACTGTCATTAAAGGTATATTCGTAGTAAAGTATTAAACATCCAACGTTGACTGTAATGTGATTATATCATATTCTAAATGAAAATTGAATCAGTAATCTAATAATTGATTGGAACTAAAAATAAGACGTATCAATGTTTCCGAGATTGTACTGACTCAGATGTCATTAGCTTGGACTTATGTTCGTTTTCTTAGTCCACCACTAATTAATTATACTGATTGATTAAGTGTATGCTTATTGTTTAATTTATGCTATGCCTTTACAAAATACTAGCTGTACCCTGCTGTGCTTTGCTGTGGCACAGTGTAGTTGCATTGCCGAGAACAAAACTAGTGTGAAACTAGTTAGAAGCAGTTTGTATATTGATCCAAAATTGTGCAGACCTTTTTGAAGTGATAACCCAACTACACATATATATATTTAGATGCTTGTGTGAAGTAAATACAAGCATATTTTACTGTGTGCCTAGTACTTCCTGGCCATTATAGTACTTACTTGCATTAGGTACAGGTGCACCAAAATCTTGAGTATTATCTAACTGTATTCCTTCCTGATATGCAGGAGGTGGGCCTGCAGGCGGATAGCCAGGGCTGTAACCAGGTGCAGGACTATAAGAAGGAGCAGGCGACGGAACACCCATCGCTGCTACATCACTGACTCGCTTCGCTTTACGAATGCCTCCACCCTGACCCACTAAAACACATAAAAATACAATATACTATTAAAAGTAATGTAATAAAGTGAAGAAAGAAACATTAGACAACTGTGTTCATAATTCTATACTAATTAGGTGTACTATCATTAGTCAACTGAGCTTTCAAATGCACATATAAATTTTACTAAGAATTGCAACATAAGGTGCAAAACTGATTTAAACCCAATCGGTCATGTTACATGAAGAATGTTTCCGAGGTATGAAAGGCATAATACCGTGTATGTTACTAATTACTAACATTACAGCCCCAACGAGATATTAATCACAATAAAATCGGCAACAAATTAAAAACCATTATATTTACAATAAAACAACTTACCATTTCTAGATGCGTTAAAATTCATTATGTTCGTTAATTATTCGTCTATTGGGAGGGCAATGACATAGTAAATTCTTCAATTATAACAATTTAGATCAGATTCTTATTCCTGAAACACATCACCAACATCCGATCTGTCGTAATTTGACGTTCAGTGATGTCATGTCAGTTGGAATTATGATTTGTGTGTCAGTGCAATTCTTTCATAGTAAATACTGTGAAAGAAACTACATAATGTGTTCAAGTTACCTGATTCAAGGACTACAATTAATCAAACGATGTATAATTTTTTTAGGGTAAGAAGTAAAACCAATACAGCTTAATGTATTGAGAATAACATTTCTCTTGAACCAGAATCGTTTGCGTGTAACGAAAACTTTTCAAGTTAGTAGTGATGGGAATCAAGTTTCAATTATAACATAGTAGAAATCGAGTGTTTACAAGAATTTAATTTGACATTAAGATCTGTCTGTTTTCTGAATATTGATAATATTGTAGTTATTATTATGTATTGTGAATAATGTTATTGCAGTAGACGTTAAATAAATTCTTCCATCATTAAAAAGATTACGTTAATACTTCCTATATTAATCGCTATAAAGTTTTACTCTATTATTAGAAGCTAAATTTTGCCCGCGGCTCCACCTGTGTGTTTGTTGGTTATCACGGTAAAAGTAGCCTATGTTACTCGCTAATAATATAGCTTTACACTAGTGAAAGAATTTTTTAAATCGGTTTAGTGGTTTACGCATGAAAACTTACCAAACAAACAAACAAACTCAGATTCACATTTGGAATATAAAAGTAAAAAGTAAGGACTTACAATTTTCTGCCTATAAGACCTCAATTTGAGATATCAAATAAAAAAGTAAGTCTGAAGTTCCAATTAAACATTTTTGACCTAAAATATGACGTATTTACAATTACTTTAATTGAGTTTTTTTTAACGTTTTATGTTTATGTTTGTCATCATAATCATCTGAGCCTTTTCCCAAACTAGGTTGGGGTCTCCTTTCAGTCTACTACGATGCCGCTGAACTTCGTTTTTTTTACATGAAGCGACTACAATTAGACCTGCACAATCCAAGTGTTTGGCGATATCATAGTTCTGTAGATATACTGTTGTCCGACTTTTTAGGGCCTTAACTACCCGTCGTTGGCATGTTCCATATGGCAATGACGGCTTAAGATGATCTCTGAGGCATAGTGGGGTCTCAATGAGTTAAGAATGGTCACCCATCCGTAGACTAACCTGGCTAGGATTTCTTTACTTTGTAATGTTACCAGTAAACGAGTAGGTTAGCACTTCGCATCTGTAACCCCACGCTTGTATCTGTAACGGCATCTTAAAACGTGATTTTCAACGGTTTTAAAACGTCGGATTGGAAAAATCTTCATGCCTTTATCAAGAATCACAAAATAAACAACAATAATTTAAAGAGTTTATCCGATTTACCAAATCAGGATCTTCAGAATTAATTATTTTTCTCTACCCAGTCTTGTGTAACGTACTGAATCGTGTTCTAACAAATTAAATAATTGTTTAAAAAACTAAATAATACGATTTTGTAACTAACTGAACTAATGTTCCTGCTCATTTTCCTCTTGCATGTGTCAATCTTGAAGCGATACTTTTAAATCGATTCGAACATCCCAAACAGTACAAGTAGGTGGCTAGGTGGATGTCAAACGAATTGAATTGAATGTTGTTTTTATTCGGCAAGTGATAAGTGTTATTGTTGAAACGCAGGTTGATTTCGCTCTATTTAAGAGCGTAAAAATTCAGCTAAATTTATTTTTATCGTGAAGTTTCTCGCACTAAACCTTTTAGAGCCATGGCTCTTACGAACGTTTTGTTATTGAGTCAAATAGCTGGCCACGTTATTGGGTTGATAGTGTCCCTTTGTATGATTGTACCCATGAGTATGCACCTGCATGATTTCAAGTAAGACATCTGTTTATTTTTAGAAAAATTGTTCTTTGTTTGTGCTTCTAGATAGATATTGAGACACCAATCGACTTAAAAATTCTTGATTCTGGACTTGTAAATTAAGGTATTTTTCCTGTAGAGTTAACTATGCAGACATTTATGTTATTCAGGTGCGGACCTATTTACCTATCTACTTGTTTTGATGCCCTGGGTCCGGTTTTATAGGAATGCTTTAATACCCTTGCAGTTTACAACATTATAAAGGAGTAAATTGTTTCAATAGTGTATCAGGGTGAGGGCTGAAGGACTATTTTAAACACGTAAATAGTGATATGAAATGAAAATAGTGATGAATTTACTGTAAGGTCATTTGAATCTTTATCAGTGGTCATTGGACTTCTGTTGTGATTAATTTGATTACTAGTTTCAACAATAAAAAAAAATCTTATTTTAACTGAGTGGTGTAAAAATGCAGTCAATTTTTCAAATGTGGCTCATATTTTCCGGGCCAACACTGCTTTCCCCGGTGTATAGTGTTTTAGTTAAAAGCCTTACACCCTATAAATGATTAACATAATCAGGTCTGAGTTGCCAAATCTATTACTAGTATATTTTTTAATTTCAATTGCCTTTATTTTACAATCTCAATACTAGTTTTATATCATAAAGTACTTAATAATCTATAGGACATCAGTAGTGGTAAGGTTATTTTGCCTTCTAGCATAGGCCTATTCCAAACTCTTCCTAAGTTTACAGTAGCAGGCTTTTCTACTCCAGTGTTCGGAATGGTCTACCTCTTGCTTTTCCCTTCTCTAAGTTACACATAAAATGTAACATCTGTAACATCTTTTGCCCATTATTCTTTCGTTGTTCTAATTATATGATTCCCCCATTTCTAACTATTAATAATTATTATTAATTTAAAATTTTAGTAAATTTACCTCTTCCAAATATTAATCACTTGAGAATACAGGTGCTACCTAAGGCAGTCACACCCCATGAATCCTTACGATCCCTTCCTTAGGCCTTACGATCACAATTGTTGTTTCTTAATGTCCTCAGCTCTGGATTAGAGGGTGTGGAGTGATAACTCCAATTAAAGTGTCAGAAGGCAAAATTCCATAAGAGAAATAGTTTGGTCAAAATTCAGTTCCCATCAGCTCCTGATCTTGCAACTATCATAAAAGGTATTTTCATATTAAAGTTTTCCTGACACTAGCAGATTACCGTTTCAATTTCGGTCACAATACAATAAAATCACATTACAATCAACGTTGGATATTTAATACTTTACTACAAAAATACCTTGATCGGAACTGAATTTTGACTGAACTTTTTTTTTTTAAGATAATTGGCCTTTAGGTCAGGTCCAACCTCCGCCACCTCCATCTTAATACTTCAGTTAACCGGTCTGCTTGTTTGCCCTTATACTGTAACGAAAAGGAAAATTACAGCAACATTTGATTTTGGCATTTTTGTGAGAAATAAATAGGTACCTTAAACCAGAATGAAGTAATAAAGAATAAATCGTGGTAGATCTAATTTTGTTACTGTTTATGTTTGCAGGGGCAAATGCCTGTTGTTCTCAGGTGGTACATGGGAGGACAATGGTTATCTGAAGGTGACATGGGCCAGCCGTGCTTATTGCGACTATGTCATTGCCATTGGAGTGCTCACATTTATAGTTTGCAGTGTGCAGATCTATAGGTAAGGTTTTCTATTTAAGAATCTAAAAAGAAACTGTGGCTATCTGTGTGGTTCATTAATGATAAATCATATTATAACCGACTAGGTTAAAACCATATGATAACCTTTTTCAAGTGCAATGTGTGACAACATCACGTCAGGACATTTCACTCATTGAAACAGGGGTCTATTGGGTCCCAATATAGTTATTGTATTATATAGTAGTAAACCCTATATCTTTAGTACCCATTTTATAATTAAAGTTGTTCATTTGAATACAATAGAATCTGTTTATGATGTGAAACATCTAATGCAGAGGATTTGACCGGGTGTTGGCGTGGCGATCCGTCACCACGGCATGCGTCGCCACGCTATGTGATATAGTATATAAAACATATAATGTTTCCTTAAATAATCTGAATATAATATTTTTAACTGTTCTATATTTACTATTTCCTTTCATAAGCTATCCTTTTATATTTATTACTTTTAGAATACAATTATGATGTTTAATATCTGCCACGTCCTGTGATGGCTAAATTTTCTTTTACCGGACTAATAAAGAGAGAATTCCGTATTAACTTTAAATTTCAAATTAAGAACACTTGATGTCCAAGTATTCACTGAATTAAAGTTAATAATAATTAAATTATGTTCTATGTAGGTTGTCCATGTTCATGTACAAAGGCGCGGACAGTTCGTTCCTCTCTGCGTTCCTGGAGGCGGTGGGTTCCGCTATAATGTGCTTGCTGACTGTGTGCACAGCAATCATAATGACCCTCGGCTTCATGAGCTGGTGCCAGATCATAGTTATGAGATTCACCAGGTAAGTTTTGTGCTGTGACATCATCATCATCCTTTACTAGTCCACTACTGGACATAAGTATCTCCTTCGAAAGGAGGTTTTGGCCTACTATACCACGTTGGCAAGACACGTTGGTATAGGGTTTGTATCAAGTTTTCCTTCTCTTTGCAGTGCTGTTGTCCTTTGTTGCTGTGACTTGCATAGTGAAAATACATGCCTTTATTAAAGTTTCTGTGGTAATCTTAAATAATAATCGTTTTTTTCGTTTTTTTTTGCTTTTTTTAATCTGACTCAACGCCATCTAGTTACAAACTATTTAGAACTTATACTATGAAAGCTAGATTGCCGATGGAATACTTTTGTTTGTAAATACATACATATTATGTATAGAAAACACCCAAACTCCGAAACAAATATTTGCAGGGCACACAAACATTTGGTCCAACCCAGGAATCGAAACCGAGACCTCAGCACACCAGTCGCATACGCTACCACTGTACCACCTGTTTCTTTCTGTAGGGGGCAAACGAACAGACTGGTCACGTGATGGTAAAAGACCACCGCCGCCCAGGGACACCTGTGACATAAGTGCGTTGATGCCCCTTGAATGCTTCATCCATAAGAGAGGGAACAGCTGTTATTAAGACATCCGGACTCCTCCTAGCGTCTGCATGCAAAAGCGTGGGCGCACATTCGAGTAAAACTCTTATTTAGACGACATTCAGGCAATTGCACGGTCTGACTGTTTCTACGTGGGGATCGGACCCACAACACTCAACGTAGAGTGTTGTGGGTCCGGTCCCCACATAGGACGACACTTTGTGTGATCCACAAAGTGTCGTTCTGAGTCTGGGTGTTCTTTGTGTCCGTTGCATGTATGTTTGTAAAGTCCCCCGCGACACAGGATATATTCCTAATGCGGGAGTTCTCTTTTTGAATATGGAATAGCTTGCAATACCCGGGGTATTTCAAGTCACATATAATGACTTTTCTGTGCCTTCTATGCAGTATATGTACGTCCTATTTTTTTTGTTACTCGTAGTTGTGAAGCAGGTGCTGGTCAAAGCATAGACAAGGACGATCAAATTCAGACGTCTGGATTCTACATAGAAACTGGCGCGGCACAGGTAAATAAATAACTCATTATTATTTTTAATGTGTAACATCTTTTCTATCTCTTTCTTGCAATGTGTGGGTGGGACGGTAGAGTGTAACAAGGAGACGGAGAAACGCACATTACTTGATTTGACAAACGAACGCCGTTGGTTGGTGAGCTGCCAGATGTTTTCAACCACTGTGAAGCTCGCTAGTTTAATGGTGTTTTGTGTTATCTGAAGATTCACTCACATATATAATTTGTAGGTTTCGTACTACTAACATAATGTTTTAACTGTCATTTTGTATACAATTAAAGTGAGGTAATTCAATTATGCACCCTTCCTTCCTTTTCCCAAACTAGGTTGGGGGTTTTAAGTCTCCTACGATACAGCTGAACTTCGATTTTTTGGAAGAGCATGGCCATCAGACCTTCACAATACAAGTACTAGACGATATCGAAGTTAGACTATTCTCGGAATTTTCATTGATTCAACTACCCGTAACGATTGCCACATGTTCGTACAGCAAAACCGCGATCGACGCCTTAACGTGCTCTCCGACGCATGGAGGGGTCTCGATGCGTTAAGAATTGAAACGAAATAAGCCACGAGTTGCCGTTGAAAGTTGACGTGCTATAATCAAATTTCGTATATTACGTCAGAACCGTTTCAGTGTCTGCGACTGAAAGGACAAATATTTAACAGATTTCGAAAGGGAGAAGAATACATATATCGTTATATCTTCGCCATTTTGTGAACCCATTTCCTCGTGCACCAACAAAATGGAGGATTCAGTTCAAGTGCACTAGCACAAACTAGAGTCCGAACCAGAGCCAATTGCTGATAAGTCCATCAATACGCAACCGACGGTTACTAAATTGCAATACAACCAGCTCCACAAATAGAATTAAATATAATATCCCATTTTTGGTTAATCAATATTGCACACAGGCGTTTTCCTTATCGCTTTGTAACACAGGAAGGAAAGTGTTGCACCATAACCCATTTGCTAATAGATAATAAATAATATATTGGTTTACAAATTTTGACAAATAAACTAAAAACAATGTTAAGTTGTAACTGTAAACTGTTAAGATTAAGGGTTTTTATAGTAGTAAGTAGGCTTTCATAGTTATGAGTTGGATCTTCATGATAGTAAGCGAACACCTGTCTAAACAATAAACAGATTCACAACAGATATGTAATAGAAAATCCGAACATGTAAGATGACAGATATGTAAGATGTCCGGTGTTACATGACCTATGATTAACTGATTCTGGGATAGAACCATGCTCCCCTATAGAGTATTATGAATTTGAACAAGGTTAAACCAAACTTGATCCTTCCTTCCTTTCTCCTTCCGAGCTTTTTTTCCCAAACTAGATTGGGGTTGGCTTTAAGTCCATTACGATATGGATTAACTTCCATTTTTTTACGCTGAGCGTCTGCCACCAGACTTTCACGACGCAATTACCAGGCGATATCGAAGTTCTGTAGAAAGACTGTGGTCGAACTTAAATCAAACTTAATCCATTTTCTGTAATTGTCAATCTTCTGTATTACAGTTCGGTGCGTGGGCTGCATTCGCTACATGGGTAGGATTGGCTGTCTTCTCAACACTGAAGGTGTGCCGGTATCATCAGAGGGAAAATATCCAGGTGTCCATGTTCCGCGAGCGTCAACGCCTGGTAAACGAGAGCGGCTCTCCAACCACACAGGACCATACAGGGAGATCAACCCCACCTTTAGAAGCTGGCGCGCAATAGAATTTTCTCTGAGTGGGTGGGTTTTGCTGAAAAGTTTAGCTATTCATATAATAATGAATTTTAATGTAACCATCATAAAATTGAAATTTCAAAGGTATATAAATCGACCATCGCCGCCCATGAACGTCTGCACCGGAGTCACAAACGCGTTGTCGGCCTTTTAGGAAGGAGTACGCTCTTTTCTTGAAGGTCGTATCGGTACGGAAATACCACAGATGATAACCAACTTTCCATCAGGTGACTCGTCTGCTCGTCTGCCCCCTCTAACATAAAAAAAAAACAAGTTGAAGAAATTAAAAGGTATGGCGGTAGATAAAAATCAAACTGATATCTCAATTAGCCCGAAAACACTCCAGGAGAAACTTGCTTCAACAAAGTATCTTCCAATAACTGTATTAAAGTTTAAAATTATTTATCGATTATCGTTTGTATACAGAGAGCAGCAAAGTTGTAGAATACCATGGATTAAGTACCTAAATATCGGGTTTACACAAAGGCCATTTATTAAAATTGGTTACCCTTTAATATAAGACTGGAAGAGCTATGACATCTGTTCCCTGGTGATGTAGTCCAAACCTGTATGAACGCCAACAGTTCGTTCAGAGTATTTTGTATGTATATATCTATATTGTTGTAATATTAATATGTAGGTATTGTGATAATATGTAGGACAGCACCAGAGAAATTGTTTCAAAGAAACTAACATGAAAATACCCAAAACCTGACCTGTATTGAATGATGACCAGTTCTCTCAGCAAAGACATTCTGTGAGTGACTTGCTTCAGTCCTTTTTCTGTTCTGTTATTGGGCAAGGCTTCAGGGCCTCAATTCTGCTATTTTATGTTCACGCCAAGCCACTGTCATACCACTGACACGCTATTGAGATGCCATCGAGTGGCCATTGGCATCGGTATAAATATCGGTAGTAGATTTTAAATATAATAAATCATTTCCTCAAAAAACGTAATATATTTTCAAATTATAAGGAAATGATTTATTTATTTTTAATATTTTTCTTTTTTTTATACTTTTATTTTTTAAGTAATAATTTATTTTAATTTATTTATTTCTTTTAATAATTTATTATAATAAAAATAAATAAATCATTTCCTCAAACGTAATGTATTTTCAACTACCGATGTTAATGGCCACTAGATGGCATCACAATAGCGTGTCAGTGGTATGACAGTGGCTTGGCGTGAACTTAAAATAGCAGAATTGAGGCCCAGGTTACATCAATCCGATTTGAGTTTTAGATGATGCATAAACTCTTATTTTTATTTAATATTACATAAGTAAGAGCAGTAGAGAACCTTTTCAATCAAAATGTAAATGGAATGGAGTCTCATGAATAAGAATTATATTTATGTGATAATAACTTTAGTTAATTGATAATTAAAATAATAATTCAAAACCAGATAAATAAACAAAAATATGTTTGCGGTATTTGCGACTTTCAAACCTTCAAGAAAAGAACATAGTTCCATCTCAAAGACCGGCAGTGCACTAATCACGAGTGCGTTGCCGGGCTGGTTAAGTTGCATCGGTTCTTGGTTGGTTGGTATCAATGACCGCAGGTAGTCACTTTCCATCATGTTACCAGTTTGCTCGTCCATCCCTTAACTTGAACAAAAATAACTCATCTGATGTTCCTTATATGTTTTAAGCAAATCGACAAAGTTGAATTAAATTAAAGAATATAATATATATCGTTGCGGGTTATTCTTTCAAAAGTTAAAGAAATGAAACAGAAAACTGAAATACATGAGTAATTTACAAATATCATATAACTTATTATGTTGATATAAAAAATAGACTGAGCAAAATTAGCTGTTTCTAGATGTGATTAATATCCAGAAATCTTAATATAATGGAACTCACAAATTATTTGCATAAAGAAACAATGTTACCCGTTCTCAAAAATAAAAATAATATTTATGTTCAAACGCCATATTTTCATATTTTATTGCATGAATATTTATTTTTTGTTATAACTAATGCTTATATTAATGTAAAATACTACTTTTAATTGTTTTGTCATGCAAGACTTTGTTGTTTTTGTATAAAGTTTATCATATAGATAGTTTTATATTTAAATGTAAGATATGAATAAAATAAGAAATACTCGAATGTCACTGGTTTTTTTATTTATCAGTACATAACTGTTAGTGCTGCTTCTTTTAGCTTTCTTTTGAAATAAGTTACTTCCACACAGGAGGCATGGATATGAAACATTCATAACTAATATAATAAAAATTGCCTTTGGTTTTGAGATACATAAGTAACGAATCGCCTTTTCTACTACCATCCATTTCAGGTAACCGAATTATCCTAACTATAAACAATGACTATGTTTTTTAAAGCAATTTGTCAATCAACGTAGTATTCTCTACTGTTGGACATAGGCCTGCAATAGCCTTCTGCATCCAACCTTAGCCAGGTACCTACCTCAAGTCGTCAGTGGTGGACTCTCTGGCTGGTTCCTTTAACCGATTTTCAGTGTCCACTCTAGGACACGATAATCTCTATAGGTACTTTTATTTCTTCACAACTGTCTTTGAGTGTTTCTTGTTCATATGTTCTTTTAAATACCTCATCTGAGCGAACTTAACATCACATTCTTCACAACTAAAGTCGCCTGCAGTGTGCGTACGCGTATGTCTCAGTAAATCACACCGGATGCTGAAACCACGCCCACATATGGCACAGACGTGAGATTTCTCCGCTGAGTGTCTTTGCATGTGTCTTAACAATTGAGTTCTCCACCGGAACGACGTATTACACTGTTTACAAGAAAAGTTTTTGAGGCCAATATGAGTTTGCTCATGAATGTACAAACTAGCTTTGGATCTGAAGCGCTTTTTGCAATGATTACACTCAAATTGATATACTCCGGTGTGAGTCGTGATGTGAGAGGCCAGAATCGCTCTGGTCGCAAATTTATTTGCACAGATTTCGCATTCATGCTCTTTAATTTTCTTATGTGTATGTCTTAAGTGATAGAAGTAGCTAGAAGATGCTTTGTAAACTTTGGAACAGATGGGGCACGTTCTAGGTTTTTTAGATGAGGGTACTTTGATATTACAGTCTTTAGTTGCTGAGTTAGAGTCATCGTCTGGGTATTCAATATCTACTACTTGACTTGTATCTTCAGCTTGCTGACTGTCTTGGGTGTCTTCTATAGCTTCAAATACTGATTCAGGGAGGGGACCAAAGCCGTATTCCATATCACTGTGATCGGAAAATTCATTTTCTTGACTATGTTTGGTGGTTTTATTACTTTGTGGCAACGATGTCGTATCTGGTTTTGCTGTTGCTGGGGTAATATTTTGACTGCGCGTTACAGGAGCCTGGGTGTTGGTATTCTGATTTCTAATTGCAAGTGCATTGTTTGCAGTTTGATTATGTCTTAGTGGGATAGTAGGGTCAGCAACATTGTGATGAGTATTTGTGGCTTGTGTATCGTTCATATTATTATTTTCTGCAACAGCTGTTGTACCTTTAGTTTCTGTATTAGACGTAGTAGTAACAGTAGTTTTTTGCTGCGATTTGTTACGTTTTACAGAAGTTTTTGAAATTTTAGTTCTTGTTACTGTCTCTTTAGCGTCGGAATTGTAATTGGTTTTTGGTGCAGCAACGCTTATATTTTGCGGAGATAAAGTGGGGGTTATATTAACATTTTGATTACTCGTTATTGATATAATAGTACTAGAATCGCGTGTAGACATCACGTGCTCAGTGTTAGTCAAACTTTGGCAAATTCTCGTTTCTGCACCCCCATCAGCATCATGGTTAGGAGCTGGGGCAATAGTATTATTGTTTTGAGTTCCGTCATTTTCTCCTCGCATATTGTTTACTAGTTCCGATCGGTCCGTGTACTGCACCGCATGGAGTGACATGTGTGCTATAAACTGACGTCTGTTGAGATATTTATCGCATTGTTCACAATGAAAGAGAAGTTCTGAATGTTCAACAATGAGATGCTTAATGAATGTGTCTTCAGGATAAGATACGTTGCAGAAATCGCATAACTGGTGTGGTACAGTGTATTGGGGGGGATCGCCGAATTTCTGCGGCTCCGGTGGCCGTACATAGTTATTCATCTTGTTCAACCTGTAACAAAGGGCTTCGTTTACCGCTATTAAGTTTATAGTCGGCGTTCATTGTTACCGAACTGCGTGTGTGCAGAGAATTGTTTTTTCTATTCAACTAATCTGATGAATTATACGTGTTTTAAAGGAAAGATTGATCTATAGTTCATCACATTTTATCATAATGATATGATGTCATACAATATTACATATCAGTGCTATTAATTTATTCCAAGAAAATAAATAATGTTTGATTTCATTTTGACTTTGAATGAATTTCCTACAATTTAATTTTTTTCCCGATGTAAGCACGAGGGATCGGATCGGATCATTCCTATTTTTCTTTATACTACTCGGAACGGCATTCGATTTTGAATGTAAATTACGGACGCGTTTAAGTGTAGGAATTTTAATAAAAAAAAACAAAGTTTAAAAATGAAGGTACGAATTTTAATAGAAATATTTATTTAGGTATTTTCATAGTAGATTTATTGAGCATCGAGTGATAGGATAATGAGCGTGCGCTAGGTGAGCGCTCGGTCCGGGTGGTGAGTGCGCTGGTGCTGGGTGAGCTGCGTGCGCAGGCGGAAGGCGCGGCCGCAGGCGCAGGCGTGCGCGCGCTCGCCGGAGTGCACGGAGCGGTGCGCGCGCAGCTCGGCGGCGCGGCGGAAGGCGGCGCCGCACGGCACGCAGCGCAGCGCGCGCGGCGCGTGCGTGCGCGCGTGCATGCGCAGCGCCGCGCTCGACTTCGAAGCCTTGCCGCACACGTCGCACACGAACTCGCGCCGCTCCGAGTGCGACTTCTCGTGGTCCTCCAGGTGCGCCCTGCGAGAGAACGCCTTCTGGCATATCGAGCAAGAGAACGGCCGCTGCCGGGCGTGAAGCGTCCTCGCGTGTCGCGCGAGGTTCCCGCCGTCGGCGAAGGCGCGCCCGCACGTGTGGCAGCTGTACCTCTTCTCGCCGTTGTGCAGACGCAGGTGTCTCCGCCAGGACACCACCGATACGCTCTTATTACACTTTTCGCACCACACGGTTTTCCGTCCGTCGGAGGCGACCGTCGCCGTTCCTGACGGTTTGGCCGTTTTCGTCGCTTCGGCGCCGTCGACGACCCCTCGCTCGATTTCGATCTCCACGAGCGCCCTGCAAGGGAGAGGATCGGGTCAGGAAATAAAACTTGCGCTTCCGTTTAACCGATAGATTTTCATTTAGTAGTGTCCGACGTGATTGTAAATTATAGAATGGGAGGCCTCCCTCGGCGCCGCTTCGTTTTCGTGAATTCTTTTTACGTGATGTCGAAGAGCTCTCCGTTGACGGAACACCGCCCCGCAGAGGGTGCAGGAAAAGGGCTTGGCGTCGGAGTGGGACAGACTGTGAGAGTTTAATTCGTGTCGTTGTCGAAACCCTTTCCCGCAGAGAGCGCACACGTGCGGTCGCTCGCCCGTATGCTTGAGCCTGTGCCTCGCTAAACCGGATCGCAGCCGGAATTTCGCCCCACATTCGGCACAATGATGCGGAAACTGTGCACTGTGCGTTTTTAAATGCACGTGCAGCGAACCGCTCTGGGTGAATCTTTTGCCACACTGCGAGCACACAAACGGCCTCTCGCCGGTGTGTATCCTCAAATGTTGCTTCAAATTCTGCGAGTTGGCGAAGTTTTTTGGACATAAACTGCAAGTGTATCTTCGTAGGCGTTCATGCGTTTCCGTCAGATGTCGTTGCAATCCGTTTGGAGCTCGAAATTGCTTCCCACAAATGTGACACACACAGGGCCTCTCGCCAGTATGTATTCTTTTATGAAACACGTACGTGTGTGACGAGCTTAAGTTTTTGCTGCAGATTCTACACGTATAGAATATTTTGCCATTAATCTTAGTTTGTACCTGATTAAGTTCTAGTCTAGTCTCCTTATCCATTATATCTTTTCTCATGTTACACTGGGTTAGATCGTCGTAACTGTCTATACTATTTTCTTCAACTTCCGAAGCACTGGAGGAGTCAGTGAAATCAGGATAAGACTCTCGAATGTTGTGTTCTCCGACAAAATGGTTTCTAAAATTAACGAGCGCACTATAAAACTTGCAGTATAGATCCTCGGGCTTTTTAGTACTGAATGTAGAAAGCGGTTTATCATCTGTCTGGTCTGAAGTTTCTGACACATCCAGGAACTGGGAGTCGTCCCTGTAACAAATAACTTTCTTTAGTCTTTCGTTTACTTGCTGTGCGTGGTAACATGATAGTTAAGATGGGTTTTCTTTCTGAATCTTTTGGAGCATATCTCGCATTTGTATTTCCGTATATCGAGATGTATTTCTAGATGAGAGTCTAACGTGTTCTTGGCGCGGTAACACTTGCCGCAATATTTACATCTGTAAGGTTTATCACCGGTGTGTAGGCGCGAGTGTACGTCACGAGCCGTTCTAGTAGGGAAAGCTTCACCACACTCTGAACATAAGAAGTTTAATATGCCTTCATGCACTATTTTTATATGACTATTCAAAGTCGCTCGATTCTTATAACTCTTCTTACACTTATCGCATGAATACGTACGTATTTCGGCGTTGTGGTTCTTCATATGTAGAAACATGCTGTACTTATTGGCAAAAGTTTTATTACATTCCGGACAAACTGCTGGTATATATTTCTGGTTCTTTGGACTCTGAAGCGTATCTGTTTTACACACTTCCTTTTTTTGATGTGCATCGCTTATATGAGCTTGAAGTTCACTCGCATCTTCTGCTTCTAGACCACAACACTTGCACACTTTCTCCAGACCGTCTCTCTTTCTCTCAACGTGATTTTCTTGGAGATGTATCACAAAGTTTTTCTTATTGTTATACACGATACCGCAGCACATAACCCCTTCTTCGATAGTCACTTGGAAATGTTTATTGAGATGGCACACTAGACGTGTTGCTGAAGAAAATACACTTGCGCAATAAGGGCAAAATAAATTAGGCAAAGGTTTCTCAATTATTTCTGTGTTTTTGGATTCACATCTATCGTTATCGTCAAAAACTAACACTTCCTCGAATGTAACATAGTTTTTGATAAACATTTTTATGGCTGTCTCGTCTTTACTGTCTGAACTATGATCGTATTTCAAATGGTCCGCTAGACTTTCCATAGTTGTCAAGGCAGGTTTTTCTACGCACATCTGGCAGACAAACTCCGTGTCCAAATACTCTTCCAACGATAACTGAGGGAAGTATTTGATCAGAACATTTCTCACCATCCCATAATATGACCTGAAAGTGGAACATGTAGGCATATGTGGAAATAATAACTAACTACAGTATAGGAAATAAGTTTATCTTTCAAATTCACGATAGTAAGAAGCCAGTTTTACGTTTAGAGCAGTGAATATTCAATCTGATTATAGTACATTATGTTTATTTTCCGAGTTTTTCAAGGTAAACTTATTTAATTTGTTACAAGTACAGAAGCAAATTACTAACTTGCTTTGTGAATCCTCTTCTGTGGTGGTGCTAGGTGCCAGGGTTATGGTTTGGCTCTCCTAAAACATATATGCTATTCTTTATCACTTTAGAAAATTTGTGTTTGTGAGCTTCAGTAAGTCTGAGTCTGCACTTACTTTGAATAATATATTGAAACAAACATCTAGAAACTGGTAATTTTCATATAACCAATACATACCTTTTGAGTTTCAGTACTGGTATCAACGCCAATCTTGGCTTTGAGGGCTCGGTCAGCCTGCAAACAGCACTCCACTAACTCATGCCAAGCTAGCAGAGTGCTGACACATTGATAGCATACCACTAGAGGGAGGAGATCTGTCTCGGAAACCTGTAGAAAAAGTACATACCTATATTAACTTCACACATCTCACACACAGACCTTATCTAACTGTGGCTTATATTAGCCGATTCTAGATTTAAAAGGGGAAAAAAAACTTACACATGGTGGTCTGATCCCCAATTAGGCAGAGCCTGTACAATGGTAACCAGACTACTGATAAACATACTTATGTGCTTCTAAATATATCTCTTCAAATAAAATACATATATCATTTTATAGATTAAAAAAAAAATTGCAGAATCAGGTTACATTGTATATGATTTTTATCTTATTGTCATTGGATTCTTATGTCAAGTTTTTAAATAAAGCTAACAAAAAACTAGTATTCTAAAACGTACATAGAAGAGTGAATAGAAAAAAGAAAAAGCTAAAATCTAAATATTACAAATTCTTTTGCAAACTGCATACAGCAAGACAAAGAACAAAAGATCGTGCTCATCACACAATATTTGTCCTGGGTGGGAATCGAACCCACGACCTCCAGCTTAGCAGTCAATTTCATGATATTCTCCACCACCGCCGTAGGTGGCCGCTTTGGGCTGTAATAGTTTTAGTTTCTCCAATGTATAATTTTAACCTGTTTTATATAATTTGTTCAATCTTTATCCCATATTTAAAACAGTTTGGGAATTCGAGATACTGCTATGTAGGTAAAAATATAATTAAGAACGTGATTGCTTTTGTGACAACCCTTGCACATTTTTTGTCGAGATTAGGTTTTAATCTATTATCGGTCTACTATTTATTGGTCTATCAAAGGAGTTGTCTCACTATTAGTATTTATTACACACATGACATTAACATCCATCACACACATCAACAGCCTATACTAGTCCACTGCTGGACATAGGCCTCTCCTTAGAAAGGAGGTTTTGGCCTACTATACCACGCTGGCCAGACGGGTTGGTATAGGGTTTGTTTCAAGTTTTCCTTCTCTTTGCATAACATCCATTATTGATAAAAATGAATTCTAATTTATAATAAATATTTATCAATATTTTAAAACTAAATACTTACTTTTATAGGTAAGTGTTTGTGTATTTTTTCAGCCAAGTGATGCTCCAGCCCCTCTCCAGTAAATATAGGGATGACAAGTTGTGTGATAGTGGCACATGTCCGACACACATTTGAGAAATTGTCCACATCTGTATAAAAATCATGATTGATATTGGTAACTGCATGTTTAACACACATAGAAATATGTAACTAATAGAATTAGGAACATGGAAGAGTTTCTGTTATTTTTAATTTCCATTAAGGATGGCTAAAGTTATGAAATCCTTAGGAACCAAATTTACCAAACCAAACCATACAGACTGAAGACAGAAGTAACCAAACTATAAAGACAGGTGAATCTCCACGGAATGGCTGCTATTTAATACATGCACAGTGTAGGATTCGACAGAATATGTCTTGTGCAGAAGTATTTTGTTTACCTTAAATAATTTTTTACTAGAAAAGCATACCAGAACCAGCAGGCAATCAAAAAAGGTGGGGGAGTATTGTTAATAGAGCCATCCAAGCAATTATAACAAAAAAAAATAGTAGTGGGAGTATTTTGCGCACCAGTTTACTAGTGCATTGAAATAGACAAGATAGATAAAATAGAGTGCAATCAAATAGCATCATTTTTTTTAAACATTAGTTAAGGTTTTTCTTATTTGTAGTCTTTGTGTACTTTTTTTAAATTGTACTATGTACTCTGCATATAACTTGTATAATCGTCAACGATCTTTTGGAGCGACTTTTTTATTCTATGACCGGCTGGCATAAAATTTGAAAATCGAACTCAAAAGAATTTAGAATGTTTATTTAATATCGTACTTACTTTCAAGATTGACTGGTGTGGTTCCGTGTGTTGGTACTTGTTTTTGTGTTATACCTAGTGGATGACTTTGTATAGAATTTAATAAATATACTTGTTCAGTGCCGTTATTCATTTTCAATAAAATTAACAATCAGTAACCATTCACCAAAACTTAAACGAAAATCAGAAATAAATTCAGAAAATAATTATTGTTGTTTTGTTTGTCGTTTAGAAATATGATACTAGGAATTGAGGAAATCACATTCTTCAATCTTCCCCAAAAAATGTTATTCAGTTTTAATTCGTTAATACTTTTAAATTTATACTGAGGAGAAGTGTTTGACTTAATTTTACATAAAAGTGATGTTTTACTTTAAATTTAGTTTGAATCTCAGTTTAAAAAAGCGACATAAATTTCTTTTCTGAACGACAATTTGTGAAGTTAGCTATTATGGCGGGAGTTTCAAAAATTATGTTGAACTTTTACCTTGGACTTTAAAGAATTGAAAAATCATTTCAAATGCAAAAGTTTATTTATACAAAATTATTTATTAAGCTGGGTTCAGAAAAGCACGTAATTATAATGTGTCAGTGGTGTCCGTGATGAGTGAAAACGGTTCGTCCTGATGCGGATACCATAAGCGGAGCCACCATCATGGTTTTGTTCTTGTATGTGTGGATAATTTGCTGAAAGGAGATTTCCATTTTAAACAGGGTATGTAAATTTTTTATAGTGTAGGAATTTTTAATACAGAATTTGTAACACGGATTCATGATTAGGTCTAGAGTAGTAATCATGTAAAGTGGAATATATTTGCGTCTGCAGAGGGAATTATTAAGAACTTTTGTAGATATAGATAATTTTGTAGTATTGAATATTTTCTATCCGTATACTGCATTATATGTATACCTCTTAAAATTAAAGGTTTTAAAAACTATATGCACATACCAAAACTAGTTTAATGAGGAATACTGCGAAAGTGAGGAACGATATAGTCATGAGGGCACTCTCTGAAGAAGGAAATTGAACGTGATGGCCGCGCGATTTCGTTTGTGCGGAACGGGCGCGCCTATGAGGGACACCGACGTCATCATCGGGCCATGTAGCATCTATGCGTCCTGCTGTGAATATGAATGAGTTATTAGAACTAGAAACACGTTTTAATAGAAAAGCTAATTGAAAGTAACCAGTATTGAAAAAAATAAATTCAAAAAACAATCACTCCGTGAACCCAGGAGTTTTAAATCTCAGATACACTCTTAAACTTAATAAACTAAACTTTGTGTGGTAGATATTTAACAGAATAAAAGGGTTTAGAGAGTTTTGGTTGCGGCGTTTAGTTCCGATTTATATAACAGTTCTTTTCAGAGTTGTCACGGTTTATGTAACAGATAAATCACACATTCCTGGAGGTAGAGGTAGGCTGTCAGCTAGCTAAGCGACGAGGGTGTTCTAAGCATATATGGAGAGGGTCTGAGTGAGCCGTGCCCATTCCCGGTATGGTCTAGCGTCCACCCTAGGATGTTGGGTTACCGATTTCGAATTCTAGGATGGACGATGTTCGTGTGGTTAGTTAGTATTTCTCTTGCAAATAATGTTTGTTTTTAATTTTATTCGTAGTTTGTCGTAACTATCTACACACAACAGATGATAAAAAAAAAACAAATTAGCTTTGTATGCAAAAAAATCATGTTCTGTAGATTGTAGATAGATTCTAACTTCAAAAGTAAATTTATACACAATTTACTTTGAAGTAACTTTCAAACCTTCAACTTTTATAAAAGTTATAAAAATATCAATTCACAGTTTTAAAGATGTTACACAATTAATAAAAAAACTAAATAAAACAGAACTAAAAAGTAGAAAAATAAAAAAATGTTTTAAAAATGACGTCTGTGTAACTGTGGTAAATTGTTATTTAATTAATTTGTTGTTTAATTATGTTTAATTGAAAATAGTAGTGCCACTAATTTTATATTTTCTCATTATAATAAAGTTCATAAAAAGTGTAATTTTTAATTTTTTATACTAATTGTACTGAATCTCGGACTGTACATTGGGTGTCGACTCTGCTTCAGCGCATCGGCAACGTCATGTCCGAGATTAGGCCCATTGAAAATAACCCTAGATACGGCAATGAAGGGTGTACAGATTTTTTATAATATTTTCTTCTTTATTAAGTTAGATTGTGTGACATGATTGGATAACTTGTTTTGGTTATTGATTAGTGGTGTATTAATTTAAGTTACTTAACTTACCAATATTATCTAATATGGTATCTTTTAACTCGTGTAGGTATTTCATCTTGCCACCGAAGCTGCGTCTCGTATTCTGTGATATGGTATCGGCCAATACTTTCATTATCTTTAACAGATTCGCCATACTGCCAATTTTGTTTTCAGGTTTGGTTTCTTTTGATGTAATGACCTTTTGGCCACCTTGACTGATATTTTTGTTGTGTTTTTGTTCGATTTCATTTTCACCACCAGAATTTACGTTAATTTCCTCTTGATCCCCATTTTTAAATATTTTCTGATCATTGTTAATGATCTCTATGTGGTTTTCTTTATGTTCAGTTTGAGGAACTTTATTTGATGGGTGATGTTTAGTGAGCTCATTAATTTTGTCACGTGATTCAGTTTCATAATCTTTATGAGGCTGTATCGTCGATTGCTGATATAGATTTTTATTATGTTTTATAATGGTAGATTCATCAACGTTAGTAGCAGGCGTAGTAAAAATATTTTTCTTTTCAGTTACTCCAGGTCTCTTATTATGGTCAAATGTCTGAAATCTTTTACGTAAGGTAATGTCATCTGTTAATTCTGGATTTGGCTGTCTTCTTAAGCCTTGCGCTTCCGTGGTAAAGATTTCCTCTTCATCTTTAGGGAAAGCATTCGGATGTTCATTGTTAATCCGATCTCTTAGATTATTTACATAAATCCTTCTTTTATTTGATTTTGTATCTAAAACTTTATTAGGCACATGTATTCGTTGTTCATTATTTAGGGGCAGTTCCTCATAACGATTTTTAGCTGCTGTTTCTCTATCACCTTTGATATTTTCAAATGGTGATTTTATAGGAGTATTACTTAATGAAACTCTCTTAACACTTCCAATATTAGGTACTTTTTCAATTATACCTTTTTGCTTAACATTGTCACTTAAGTCTACAGTTGGTCTGGTAGGTCCGTAATTAGTTCTTAGATCGAATTCATTGCCATCATAGTCAGAATACTGGTGTTCTTGTATATGCACTGGTTCTGCTGATTTTGAAGCACCCTTCAATTGTACCCGATTAAGATTTCCATCGTTAGATTGTATTTTAGAACCTTTTTTCCAATCGTATTCAGAAACACTTTTGTTGTAAGTCCAGGATTGAGTAGTCTCTTCCACTTCCATTTTGTTTGGGGTTGTAAACGGATTATGGATGCTATGATAGGTGTGCATCGGTTTTCTATAGTGCTGTTGAGATATTTCTACCCATTCGGCGACAGCTCGAGTTACGATAAGTAATGTGAGAAACATTTTCGATTTGTGTGGATTGCTCTCATGTTTGAATACCTGTGAACCAAGTGTGACGTATTTTAGGTCGTGAGATGTGATACTGTTATGTCAGAGGTACACTACTAGAAGATGTTTTAAGAAAAATGTTTTGAAAAATATATTTATTTAAGTGTAAATGTAGGTGCTTGACGTTGTTTTTGGATGAATATGTAATTCACATCATCCATCCGTACATTTAACCATGTTAATGATTTATTTTGAACAACAATCGGATAAAAAATGCCGGGACGTTACGCTATGCCTTAATTTTAATAATTATGGTAAACATTTCCACATTTTCAATTAGGTATTGCATGTAAAGCCATATGATATACGGTATTTATTAATTAGGTCATCAACAGCCTTTAATAGTCTACTGCTGGACATAAGCCTCTCCTTAGAAAGGAGGTTTTGGCCTACCATTACTATTAAATACTATTAATTAGGTAATAACATTATAAGGGTAATTTAAAACTGTCCTATTGATGCGTCTGCTCTCTTTCTGAGAAAGGATAAAGATAGTGTTAGAGATATACCAGATTTGTAGAAATCAAAGAATTACTCAAAATACTGTTTCGCCGAATAAGAGAAATAACAAGTATTTCGAAACGTAATTCTCAGAGTTTTCGGTATTCAGGGTCATAAATGTGTCATTGTCATAAAAATGTTTGAAATGTGGGCTGGTGGTAAACGCTGTAATTATATGCTCCACGGGGCCTGAAGAGACGAGAGTCGCTGGCGCGTCAAGTTTATATTATGTCTCAAAATGTCTTTAACTGGAGCAACTTTACACAATGCTTTTGTTTATATTAGGTTCTATTGAACATGTTAATTTAAACGAATGCTGTTCCAATTATACTCTTTATAACAAACGCAAAAAACTTTATCAAATGACTTATTTTTATGGCATAGTGGGGCAAACGAAGACGAGTCGGGTGCCGGAGGTAGACGACTCAGGCACCGGAGGTCGCAGAACGACCTCCGTCCTCCATAAGCGCAGGCCTAGATGGCCATCTAGGCCTCTGTCACTCTAGCAGAAGCCGCCCGGGGTGAGTGGCGGTGCGACGCGCTACAAAGCGCGCACGCCCTTCAGAGACAGGAAGGGAACATCGGAGTTCCCACACAGGGGGTCATCTATAAGCCGTAGATAGCCCGAGGTGCGACGGGGTATCAGGGCTTTTCTTTCTAGGGTATACCTGTTCGAGTCCGACAAAATCACCCCACTGGTGGGTGGTATCTGAGGTGAGTTCCGCACAGGAAAAAAAGATGGGCAGACGAGCAGACGGGTCACCTAATGGAAAGTGACCATCGCCGTCCATGAACGTCTGCAACTCAGGAGTCACAATCCAGTTGCCAGCCTTTTAGGAAGGAGTACACTCTTTTCTTGAAGGTTTGAAGGTCGTATCGGTCTGGAAATACCGCAGACGATAACCCGTTCCACAGATTGGTTGTGCAGGGCAAGTGCTCTCAAACCGAGGTGATACGACAAATGGTAACTTCTTTGCGGTGAACGCACAGACCTGTCTTTTTTGGGCTGAACTGGACTAGATTTACTCGGCCCCAATCTGAAAGCTCCGCTAAGGAAGTTTCAATTTCAGACACAAGTGGGTGGGTGACGATAAATGGGCGATGGAGGATAAATAAAATCTTTTTTATATGTTAGAGGAACATATAAAAAAGATAGCCCATTTATCGTGGGCGATCATGCTAAGACCAATAGGAGCGGAGCACCAATGAAGAATGTTTCAAAATCGGTTTTTTATTCTTTTGTGAGCTGCGTAAACAGAAATAGCTCCTTATCGTACGTAATATTTAAAAATATTTTCACCTTGTACGTGAACGAAGTCGCAGGTTAAAGTTAGCGTTAGCCCAAAGTAAATATATAAGTAAATATATTAGTAATATATCCAGTCGTCGTCGCGCGCGCACCCGAGTGTAACGTGTTTAAAAGGACAGCGGTGATTGTGTCGCAAAAATGACGTCTATATTGAAATGTGTTAACTGTAATATGGTGATTGACGAAATGTTAGCATATGTGCAAAATAAAATATCTATTATAGATGAGGATAGTTTAGTGAGAATATGTGTTGCAACGTTTACGAGTGAGCAGATACAAAAATCGTACTCGTTACTGTTTGAATCGCTACCGTCCGATAATCGAAAAACAGTTCGTAAAGGACAGGGAAAAGAAAATCGCATTTTAAATGACATCATCCATCTCTTTAAAGTCACAGACCAAGATGTGATGCCTGTTTTTGTGGCTCGTAACCTGGAAATGTTACCACCTATTACCTTCGATCACCTTGACGTGTCGAAATTGCTAAAGGATTTGATGCTTGTTCAGGCAGAGATCAAGAATATGAAGGATACTTACGCTACTCTGGAGCATTTAGAGAATTTCAGGAAAGAGTTCCAGGATACAAAATTCTCCCCTTCAGTTTTCTCCAGTAGTAGGCTCAATATAAAGAGTGGGCGGACTATTGATAGTGATCCTATCGATTTAGCGGATAGTCACCTCATGCAAAATATCGAAGATCATAAATCCAGTCGCACGGGCTTTGGGGAATCCTTTCAAACCGAAGAACAGCTGAATCATTTTAATATTTCTTTTGCGGGGGTAGTTGCAGAATCAGATAAAAGTAAAAATATGTCGTCTAGATCTGTGGGCTCGTCCGATGCACCGTTAAATCTGACATCATTGCGATCTACTGATAAGGAAACAAGTGAACAGCTGTGCGTATCGGTCAATAAACATAAACAAGCGGCGGCCATTGCGACATTAACTTTACAGGAGAAAAATGAAAATATAACAGGCAACGAATGGAAACTTGTACAATACAAGTCAAAACCTAAAAACCGGTTAGTAGGTAAAATTGGTACGTCAACGGAACAGGGAAATTTTAAGTCAGCCGACCGGAAAATTCCGATGTTTATTACTAATGTGCACAAGGAGACATTGGAAAACGATATAAGTAGTTATATCTTTAACAAAACGAGTGAAAATGTACAATTAGAAAAGATCTCAAATAGAAGAGAGAGTGAATATAATGCATATAAGTTTTTTGTGTCGGAAAGAAAAGTTGGAATGTTTCTAAATAATGAATTATGGCCGCAGGGAATAATTTTCAGACGATTTGTGCATTTTAAGCCAAAGAATGTTAACAGACCGCATAATTCTGTTATAGGCGTTAAATAAAATACAAATGCTTAGTAATAAATCTTATAAGTTTGTATCATTTAACTGTAAGAATATCAAGCGTTCTCTTGCTGATATTCGACGTTTATGTCGGAATGCTGACTTAATAGCTCTTCAGGAGACGTGGCTACTGCCGGAGGAGTTGTCATACCTGAATGAAGTGGACAGTGACTTCGAGTGTACGGGCGTGTCGGCTGTTGATACTGCCTCAGGTATGCTGCAGGGAAGGCCATACGGAGGGGTTGCCATTTTGTGGCGGCGTAGTGTTTTTCGAAACGTGTCGGTCATAAAGTGTGAAAATTCGCGTATATGTGGAATTCAAATAGTGCTGGACAAAAAGTCAATCTTAGTGATAAGTGTTTACATGCCGACGGATATGCCTAAAAACTTGCCCGAGTTCACGGACACTATAAGTACGGTGAGTGCCATTATAGAGAGCAGTAGGATCGAAAGCGTATACATACTGGGGGACTTTAATGCGCATCCTACGGAAGGATTTTATAATGAACTCAGCCATTTTTGTGACGAGCAACAATGGACGTGTATTGATACGGACTGGTTAGGTGTTGTGTCAAATACATACACATTTATAGGCGAGGCGCACGGCTCTAAACGCTGGCTAGATCATTGTGTTGTGACCAGAGCAGCACTGTGCTCAGTAGTGGGGGTGTATGTGCATTATGATGTTTTATGGTCGGACCACTTTCCTGTATTTGTTGAGTGTAATTTGGACATTATCCTACAAAAAACAAGTGATTGTGTTTATTCACAAAATAAAGTAGTGTGGGGTGAAAGAAGCCCCGAACAGATCAATGAATACGGGAGGGTTTGTCACGACAAGTTAAAGCTAGTCGATTTGCCGCGGGAGCTGCTGCAGTGTGCTGGTAAAGGTTGTAGCATATTAGAGCACAGGCCTATTATTGATAAAATGTATCATGACATTGTTGTAGCTTTGAGCGAATCAGCGGCTATCGGCCGAGAAAACAAAAAGTGTAGACAAAAGCGTACTGTAATCGGTTGGAATAAACATGTAAGCGAGGCATACAGGGAGGCCAAACACAAATTTTTAACGTGGGTGTCGTATGGTAAGCCAACTACCGGTAAAATATATGAGGGAATGTGTGATTCCAGAAGAATATTTAAATCCCGATTGAAATGGTGTCCAAAAAATGAAAACCAGATTAAAATGGACATCCTGGCTTCGCATTACTCAAAAAAAGATTTTAAATCATTTTGGAAAGCCACAAATAATTTGAATGGAAGGCCGGGGCTCCCTGTGTGCATCGAAGGAGTAAGTGATTCAAAAGATATTGCGAATATCTTTATGAATCACTTTAATGTAAAATCGCCGTTGGGACCGTCATCGTGTGGGCTCCATGCTGAGGCTGGAATGGAACTGGAAATAAAGTTCAGTGCTAAGGATATTGAAAAAATAATATCATCGATGTCTAGGGGGAAGTCACCCGGCCATGATGGCCTCAGTATTGAGCACCTGCGGTACGCGGGTTCCCATCTACCCAGGACACTGTCCTTGTTGTTTGCGTTGTGCATGAGTCATGCATACCTACCTGTCGGGATGTTGGGAACGCTGGTTGTACCTGTAGTTAAAAATAAAACTGGCGATTTAAGCGACAAAAATAACTATAGGCCTATATCGTTGGCGACAATTATATCGAAGGTGTTTGACGGTCTGCTTAACACACAGCTAAATGAATATATACAACCACATGACAACCAATTCGGGTTTAGGCCCGGATTGTCTACGGAGAGCGCTATTTTGTCTCTTAAGCAGACTGTCAAGTACTATACGGATCGGAAAACGCCCGTATACGCTGGATTTTTCGACCTCTCGAGAGCTTTTGACCTGGTTTCATACGACATTCTATGGAAAAAGCTGGATAATGCTAAATTACCAAGAGAACTACTCAATATCATCAAGTTCTGGTATGGAAGCCAGGTCAATAGTGTCAGGTGGGCAGGGGTCAGATCTGATGCGTATGGGTTGGAGTGCGGGGTGAGACAAGGAGGGTTGACATCGCCCACGCTCTTCAACCTGTACATGAATGAGCTGATTGAGGAGCTTAGCGGCACCAGGATAGGCTGCCACATAGATGGAGTGTGCTTAAATAATATTAGCTATGCGGATGACATGGTGCTGCTGAGTGCGTCGCCCTGTGGCCTCAACAAGCTGTTGAGCATTTGTGAAAGGTATGCATTACAGCATGGACTTGTGTACAATGCAAAAAAGAGTAAGATTATGGTCTTCGAGGCCGGCAGCAGTGGTGTACTTATTGAGATGCCTACCATTAAACTGAACGAAGTTCCTCTACAGAGAGTAAACCAATTTAAATATCTAGGGCACAATCTGACTGCCGACCTCAAGGATGATAATGACATCGAACGGGAGCGAAGGGCGCTGTCTGTACGTGCTAACATGATAGCTCGCAGGTTTGCACGTTGTTCGGGTGTGGTCAAGATCGCATTATTCCGTGCATTTTGTACCTCATTCTACGCGTGTAGCCTGTGGGATCGTTTTACACTAAAAGCATACAGCGCCCTTCGAGTTCAATATAACAACGCGTTTAGGGTGCTGGTGGGGTTGCCACGTTTCTGTAGTGCTTCAGGGATGTTTGCAGAAGCCCGCGTTGATTGCTTTTATACAGTAATGCGTAAGAGATGCGCGTCCCTGGTACGCAGGGTGCGGGGCAGCACCAACAGCATTCTAAAAATGATCGCTAGCCGAATGGATTGCGCGATCGTGAACCGGTGTTGCAGACTTTCTGCTGGACCTGCAGCATAATGCATAATGTATGTGCCATGTTAGGTACCGGTTCATGTCATTGTATTTCGCTGTGTTTTTATTTTTCATTTACTAACATAGTTATAAGTCAAATTGTTACTAACACTATGAGTTTTGTTACTCGATACGATATGAATAAATAAATATATAAAACTTTAAGGTTTTAATGAATCTGCTAGGGTGTCTAGTCTCTAATATTCATAAAGTTATGATTTTTAAGACATCAGTTATTTTGAGTCGTCCTTATCATCAATTTTTGGCAACAGTTCAGTCAGCTAATTTGTGTTGGCACATCTTTGATCATCAACTTTGGATGTTGATGACTGAGTTCTATAACATTGTAACACTACCCAGTTTTGCTCTAAATATCGTGCAGTATTTTTGACGTTCCGTTTTTGATGATCAACTTTTGTCGTTGACTGTACTTACATGCGGGCATAATATTGTGTGCATATGAAAAGAGTATGACAGTCATAATGAATGTTGTAGTTGCTGAAACTAGAAGCAGCGCTGCTTGAAAATGTCCTGTACATATAGTAGTATAGAAACATACTAGGGTATGTATACCGGGTATGTCGGGGCACGAGGGACTTCCTTTCTAGGGTATACCTGGTTCCCCGGCTATTAGTACCCGAGACGGCGTGCGGTTTTAGTCGGTTCGAGTCCGACATGCCACCGACAGGTGGTATCCGAGGGGATTTCCGCACGGAAAAAAAAAGGGTATACCGGGTGTTAGAAAAGTACCAGAACAGCAGAATACCTCGATAGGGATGTATTTTTCGGCAATACGTTTCACAATAGTTACAGGGATTTTCCCTGGCTATCCATTGGTGACCTTGAAATTGACCGTTAATCACAGCCTTGAAGGTTATCTCAGGGGTCAAAGGCAATTTGCAAATGGGATTGCATATTTTTCAGCCCGGAATTATTATGATATTTTAGGTCTCAAATTCACATCACAGACGTGAATTACATAAAAACATCTCAAGGGTTAAAACTTAATTTAAAAAAAAACAAAGCACTATATTCAAAACGGCATATATTTAAATAATTAATTATTTAACACACAATTTGTAAATCGGTCGGGTCTCAGCTAGAACATCAATAAAATGGAGATCCTGGCGTGTGCTCACTGCTTACGAACTAAAGTTAAGCACCAGATAGGCCGACAATTGTACATTTCAGTGTGTTATTTAGCTGCCAATAACATTGGAGTTACCTTCTTGATACTTGTGCGTAACAATTCACAATATGCCATAGTTTGACATACTTGAGTAAGTTCAATCTTGCCAGTTGTTTTAGAAACTGAAGGCAGTAAAAATTTAAATAAATGTCTACTACGATCTGTAGCTCGTTCTACAATCGAATTGTAGGTTAGGTTTAAATGTATTGTACCCGTTTAATTTCATTTATTTCATTAACTATAGATAAAGTAGATATACAGGTTCAATTCAGAACAATACTTAATTTTAAATTTGTCATGATAACTATTTGCAAACTCAATTTTGCAGACTAATATTTCGTTGTCTGTGGTTTAAAAATTTAAATAATAGTGAGAGATGATTATCATCTGTCATTTTTATCCTAATTAAAAGTGACAAATTTAATTCCACTATCCGTTTCCATCTTTTAAGGATACGTAAAAGATTACCGATTTATAAAATTATACCACCATTTCGTCACTATAACTCTTTCCTTTAATAAAAAAAATACATTAAAAAAATATTAAAAAAAAACACATCACACTCAGTGAGCACACCATTCTCCCTTACAATGGTGACCGTGTCATGTATTATTAGGCTCTAGACGGTCTCACAGTAACATCTTATAGATAACAACTACTAACACATAAACATTCACATT